CATGAGGTGAACAAACCAGCATTGCTTTGAGACTTAAACTCCATCTTGGGTTTTCAGGTGGTGTTTTTCTACAGTTGCAGCATGCAGCCAGGTAAGTCACGTCTTCTACTAACTGTATGTAAACCTGCTGCATATAGCCCATTCTTTTTCTGTAATTCCTCCATTTGTAGGTGTTTTAAGAAGAAGCCAGCTGCTGGATTCTCTGAAGGCGTACCTGAGCAACAAGGAGAGACTACAACCCATAATAGGTGTGCCGCAGCAAATCCCACTTTTAGTGCGTAAACGGTTCTTTATTCAGTGTGTGCTGAAGTAAAATGTGTTTTTAATGTGCACTTAGGCTTGGGCTGCATTACAGAATGTGTGAAGGCTGGTGCATGGAGCACAGAAGCGCTGTACTTGTGTGGGGTGTGCGTGTGTCGCCTCAGTAAGGCTGACATGCGTAACCACATACTGGGAAGTCTCCACAGATTCAACTACATTGTAAGTAGTACTGGAGAAGGATTGGTGACAGCAGATCATGTGCTGCGTTGGATTTTACTAACAGATTATGGTTTGTTTGTTTGTTTGTTTTTAAAAGAAAGCCTGGCACCCTCACTTGGTATCTAAATGGCAGGAGAGCTCCGACCTGTCCAAGCTGGCGTGGCCGCTGATGGAGATGGCCAAGAAGCTTGAGGAAAAAGAGGGACCGGGAGACATCCAGGTCTGTTGCTTTTATTGTGCGTGCTTTCTTGTAGTCATAAACTGCAAATTATTGTGGATGCTCATATGTTTTTGCACCTTCATACGAAGTTGTTAGAGGTTGAAGATGGTGTATACCAGAGGATGGAAACATCCAGTGAAAATGACGGTCAGTGAATGTTTGACTGTTCTTTCCCCATCTCACTGTCTTCTCTTGATTACTCTCACTTTTTATATTTTTGCCAATTTTTCTGCATGCACGTGATTATTTTTCCCTTCATGAGTATCTTTTTATCTCTCTGATACTGCAGCAGTAACTCTCATAGGTTCCTTAAGAGATGCACAGGGTGAAACTGAGAGTTATCCAGAGACTACAGCTTTGCACTATCCCACCGAATCCCAGAGGACTGTAGTGTTTGCACAGAACCAGCCCACATGGTCCAAGAAATCCTTCAAGGCTGACACAAACTCAGGCAAGATCTCAGCGCACACTAACAAGCCAGCACCGCAGCTGATACATGCAAACTTTCATCCTTCTGTTAAGTCAGAGGTCTACTTAGTCAACTCGTTCACATCCCAGTTGGGTTCTCTGTGTTTTCAGAGCACACCAGCAGCTTTCCTGATGACTACACTGGAACCAAGACTCCCATCGGTGAGAACACACAAAGAACGGCACCAATAGAGTTAAAAAAACAAAAAATAATTTTAAAAAAAGGCCTTGAAGTTGCACGGTTGTGGCGGACTGCAAACTCTTTCATGTGCCTCTCCAGTAAAGTTTCTCATCTCACAGTCCAACTCCAGTCTCGAACCGCACCTGGTGATCGTAATTCCCATGAAATGGAAATGTTCTTTATTTTTTTGTTTCTCATGTTTTCAACAGGTCTCGACTGTGTGGCCGAGTATAGAAGTGAAGATGGCTGCTCTTACTGTTTCTTATGCCACTGCTGCCGCATCAAATCCAACAAGAAGGACATCACTGAACACCTGACCAGCCCCTCACACCTCATCAACTACTTGGTCTGTTTGTTCTGGATCAGTTATCAGAATGGACTATAGCAAACGTTCTTTAGTATTATGCATGCAAAAAGCGAGGTAAGTATAGTTTAAAGTTAGTGAATATACATTTTTATAGATGGAAACTCATCCTGAGGAGGTGGAGGAGGTGACTGTGGAGCTTAAAGACAAACCTCACCTTCTTCAGTCTCTGGCAAAGAAAGTGGAGGGAGAAACGGGCCGAGGAGAGTTGAAGGTATCCTTTTTTTTTTTGCAGCACAGAATTTCCTGCTGGGATTCTGCCGCATGTGACGTGACTCTCAGTGTCTTTTCCCCCAAACAGTCTTGGTCTCACCTGTACTCGTCTGTCCTTTAGTTTATAAACCTCTCATGTTCTCAGGTAGTGCATGTTCCAGAAAACCTTTGTGCGCTACTCACTGGCAAAAGTTACCACTGGTGTAAGTATAGCTTATTTTTCTTTTGCTTGGCCATAAACCATTCACTTCATTTTCTACATCTCTGCTCTTGTAAGTATAACATTTACCTGTCTCCTTTTTTTTTTTGATAGCAGGTCTGTGATAGATCAAACCACTGCAAAAAACAGGCTTTTTTTCCCCCCTGACGTGTCATTATTGAAACATTCAGTTAAAAAGGCAGGACAAAATAGAAATGCTGTAGAATTGTTCTACAGGCACAGACACAGGTACCCACTCAGTGATTTGTTGAAAGTGTTATACTCTAAATACAGTTGTGGTCAGAAATCTTTTTTAAGGAGTAAAAAAAAAAAAGAGAAGAAGGTTACATCCACTCATCCTGGGCATGAATATCATGGCATTTCTGGGCTTTTAATGATTTCTTTGAACTGTTCTTTTTCCAGGGTGAAATGATTGAGTGATTGAATCTTTGAGTTCATTTAAATCTGTTTGTTTCCTGGCACAGACCCGACTTTTAAGTGTAGTCCACAAATTTACAAATTGGTTGAGGTCGGGACTTCGGGAAAGCCATTCCAGCATTCCAGCAGCTTAATATTAGCCTGCTTTATCCATCCCCAAAACCAATTTTTATTAAATTTTTGAACTATTATAATATTGGCACATCTAACTGTGTTCAATTTGAACCATCTAGCTGTTAATTTGAGGTGAAGTTGAAATATTTGCTACCACCACAATACTTGAAAGTTGGTGCCATGCTCTCAGGTTGGAAAACCTCACCTTCATAGCTGCAAACAGCTCAATCTTTCTGACCATAAAACGTTTTGGTTTTATGTTCAGCTTGACTGTGGCAATTTTTGGAGCACAGGTTTCTTTCTTGCAGTATAAACATGTGGACCATGAATGTGGTGTTCCTGGGTCATTCCTGAACATCCCAACCAATTTAAAAATGTCAAAAGACGTTGTGGAACCTTTACCACCACTTATTTAAAAATGTAAGCGAGTGTATGTATGTAACAAAGGACACACTCTGCATGGTGAGTGCCAAAGATGCACTGACAAAATGTGATTCAGGCAAAATTCAGACGGCATAAAAGTTAAACTTCTCTG